GGGGCAAAGGGGCCTGGGGCCCTTCTGAGCTCAGGTGGGGGGCAGGCAGGGGCCCCATGTGAAGCCTGGCCTCCCCCCTCCAGGCCTCTTCTTCACCCTGCTCCTAATTTACCTGCTCTTCACCTCCTTCTGGTCGCTGAGCGTGCTCTACTTCGCCTGGTGGATGGTGGACTTGGAGACCCCGATGCACGGTGCGGAGCTCCCCCTCCCCCCCCCCCCCCCCGCCCCCCCCCCCCCCCCGGGAGCCCCCCCCCCGCCCAGGGCTGCCCCCTCGGCCTTCAAGCTGCCGGGCCTCTTCCTGGTCCTCCTGCAGCAAGAGGGCGGCCCTTGGGGTCTCTGCCCCCGTGGGGCCCTCTCGGGTCCCGAGCCCAGACCCCCTTTCCTGTGGGAGGCGGCTGTGGAGCTGGGCGGGGGAGGGGGGCCCCAGGGGGGGACAAGAACTGTGGTCTTTGGGCGGTGGCCTTCTAAAAGGCGCTGCCCTCTTGCCCCCCGCCTGGACTCTTGGCCCCCCGGGGGAAGCTGGATCTGGCCACCTCCCCCCGCCCCCCACCCCTGCTGATCCCCCAAACCCCAGCCGCCTCCTTCTACTGGAGGGCCAAGACGGGCAGCCGGGCCCCACCAGCCACCCACTCGTGGCTCTTGCGCTCTGTCCCGGCAGGAGGACGTCGCAACCAGTGGATGAGGCGCTGGAAGGTCTGGGAGCTGCACAGGGACTATTTCCCCATCCAGGTAGGAGGAGGAGGAGGAGCCCCGGGTGGAGGCCTGCTTCGAAGGGACGCGGCCCCACGTGGCCCCCTGAAAGAGCTGCTTCCCGCTGGGCCCAGGCTAACCCAAGAGGAGCCCCAGGCCCAGCCCCTCAACGGCTTGGAAAACGGGGGGGGGGGGGGATGAGGGCCGAGGACTCTTTGGGCGGGACGGTTGGCCTGTGGGACCCGCTGCCCCCCCTCCTCTGCCCACGGGCGGCTGGCCCCAGTGCAGGAGAGGGGAGGCGGCCCCACCGCTCTGCTCTCCTCCCCAGCTGGTGAAGACGGCCGAACTGCCCCCCACCCGGAACTACGTGCTGGGCTCCCACCCCCACGGCATCATCTGCGCAGGAGCCTTTTCCGCCTTCTGCACGGAGGCCTGTGGCTTCTCCCGGGCCTTTCCCGGCCTGACCTCCAGACTGGGCCTCCTGGCCGGTCTCTTCTACCTGCCCGTCTATCGCGAGTACATGATGAGCTCAGGTGGGGAACCACCTTTCCTCCCCCGCCTGGTTTCCGGGCCCCCGTCCTTTGCGCCCCGGTCCGGCACTCTGAGGCTTGGGAGGAGTGTTTTTTTTTGATGGGGGGGGGGGGCTGCCGCAGTGACCCTCTCTTTGGAGTGTTTGGGACCCAGCATCCCCCTCCCCCTT